CCCATCAAATTTTTAATTGCTAAATCGAGATCTCGAGCACTAGCAACTAAGTTTTGGAAGTCCTGTTTGATCCGCATCTATTTTGTAATTGTTTAATGGACTTTTAAGCTCGAATACTGTTCTTTATCTCCACATATTCATTCTGGGAAAACTACTGTGGATATAGACCGTTCGATAGCAATATCGTTTTGTCATACAGAATAGATATGATCCGGTGTAACGACGAAAAGTGACCCCCGTAGAATATTGACCAGAGAGTCATTTTTCTACGTAGAAAATGACTCCTGGTCAATATTCTACGACAAGTAGGGTCATTTTTCGACTGTAGAAAAACATTCCAGACCAGTAATTCTACAACTCCACACACGTTGAAAAATGACCCCCATAGAAATTTGATCCCCTACTTTTTTATGCAATAAAATCTTATATCTATGTCTCCTGATATTTTTTCATACTTTCAAATGTAAGTAGGGTTTTTTTTTTATGTAGTTTAATCTTTTCCAACATATATTTGATTGCATATCTTAATAGTAGCATCACAATCAATGTTTCTGGTATGGATTTATTTTTTTGCTTGCAGAATCCCAATGAATATTTTATTTATTGAGGAGCATACATATTATGATTTTATTTTTTTCATTCAAAGGTTTTGTTCCGAAAATGGCATGATATGTTTCTGTAACCATAAACTTTGAAATTTTTTTTTGCAAATACAAATGAATTCTAATGTCTATCATGCCATTACTTCGATATCTAAAGTTATAACATATACTGTCCAAAACTTAATGCAAAAGTAAAAGTTTGGAATTTTTGTGTAAAAGTGTGTCAAACGCCAAGGTCAAGGTCGAAAGGTCACAAAAAAGGTCTTGTCACAAAAATAAACCTGTGAAATATGAAAGCCATTGTCCCACCCAGTCTAATGTTCAAGTTTTTGCGGACAAACAGAGAAACAGACAGACGGACGGACAGGTAAAAAACTATATACCTCCGAAACTTCGTTTACGGGGGCATAAGTATAATATGTAAATTAACAACTTTTTCATAATCCAACATTTGTTTTGTTTTTTTTTTCTATTGGTAAAAAAAACTTCTAAAATCATCACATGTAAGTACATGTAGAACGGGGAAAACGATACTAAATGTGCCATGCAATTTTTGGAAAGACGAGCACTTCTTTATTTAGCTAATCATGTTTTATGCTACAAACCCCATTTCGTTAAGATTTTGTTGATACTAGCAAACGACAAAAGACATTTTACAGGTTTTGAGCTAACTACTTTTTGTTTCACTTGTATCATAGGTCAGAGGCAATTTAATTTCGTACTTATTTTTACAAATTAAATCATCCCTGTTTTTTATGAGAAGTTTGAAACTTCATTCATTGAAAACCAAATATTTTATAAGATCTAATTTTCTAAGCTAGCGTCGTTTTTCGCCTCAGCTACGTTAAGGACTGATATGGAAAATGTTACATTAGCACCGTTTTAATATGAATTACTTCTTTAAAAATTGTAACAAAGCAACTGAATACCTGGAGAAAATGTAAAATAGCTATCCATATTGGATAGGACTGGGTCGAACATGTACATATTACCAGTTATATCACATGTATCAGCTGTTTGTCACGTGACTTATATGAAAATAGAATTGTTCAGCTGAATGTCATCTTCGCTAGGCAAGGGTTTCCGATCCGATACCTACTCCACAACTGTTGTAGAGTAGGTATCGGATCGGAAACCCTTGCCTAGCGAAGATGACTGAATGTAGGAATTGAGGATAGTGCAAGGGCATGCGCTTGTTTTTCAAGAAAAAAAAATGATAAGCATTTAAAGATGTTTATTTTCTCTACCCAAAAAGTGCTGGGAGCTAATTTGTGCTGGTTGGGAAGTACCGAAAATGCTTATAATAGCTAAAAATTTCCACTTCGCTTAAATTCTGTTACAAATAAAAATAATGTTATGCAAACTGTGATCAGCTCCCAGCACTTTTCTAAATATACACTATAAAACAATAAATATTCCATATATATACTCAAACAAAATAGTCTATGCCCTTGCAATTTTGATGTAAATGCACGAATACGCTTATCGTTTTAGCGATATTCTCTACATTCCTTGTTCTGTGCAGCTCTAATGCTACTAGATAAATTGCTATTCTATACAAATTGTATTTAATAAATAATTTTCTTTTAGATTTAATGATTAGGTTAAAAAATAGCAATGATATCCTATTTATTTAAGCATTCTTGTAATTATTAAACCAGTGGATCTAGTCCTCTGGATCACCTGTGATGCGTCAAGTCAAGGCTGATGACGTCATATTTGACGAAAGACTTTCTTCTATTACTTGACTGTATTGATATCAAGTATTGCAATTTTACAAGATTTTATAAATAATTGATAAAATAAATAAATTCAAGTTGTTACGAACGCATCACTTTGTCGTTAATTAATTATTAATTTTTGTGGCTTGTTAAATTTTCTTGACGTCACAATTAAACTTCCAATACAATGTATCAGGAATGTGAACGCTGACCTCCCTTAACATAGCCGAGGCGCCAGTTTTAAAAGTAGGATCTAAAACGTTTAACTTTTGAAAAATAAAACTTTATTCTGATTTTTGCTAATTATCTATCCAGGGTAAAATCAAAGAGATTTATGATTAATTAATTATGGAATTTTTTTTAAAAAAAATTCTGACACCAGCCAGGAAATGACCTTTTTAAAGATTAAAATGACAACTGTGGAAACTTACTGTATAAAATGTAATAAACGATTCTATGAATGCGCGTATCTTTGCTCTAATAGCCTTAGAACATTTTAATAGCTTTTTTTTCCTTTAATGGGAATAAAACGGTTTGTAAAGCTTTGATTTCGTTATTTAAGTTTAAAATCTTTCAGAAATTAACACTTCAAAGCATAAGGATGCTTGATATTACCCGTATACATTCGCCTAACAAGAATATTCCTACCAAAACGACAAGAATATTCCTACCAAAACGAATGTTTTTGCATAAAAAATGACATGGGGTCATTATTCTACGGGGTCATTTTTCTACAATGCACACGGAGAAAAACGACCACAAGGCCATAATTTCTACGGAAAAGTGGGTCATTTTTTACGTAAAATATTGACCAGGGGGTCAAATTTCTACGTAGAAAGATGACCCCCGGTCAATATTCTACGGGGGTCACTTTTCGTCGTTACACCGGATTTATATTGATATTTCCTGTCTGATATGCGGGATATACAGTTCGTACCAATCGCATCATCTCGTGTCTTTCCGTCAGAGGTCGGAAAAACAACCACGAATGTATTAACATCACCGGATGTTAAAAATTTATACATTTCCTGTTTATTCAAATATAGGATTGACTGAGTTAGAAGTCCCTTCTATAGTATGTTTCAGGTAATATCATTACATTGAATAAAGTTAAACTCCATATTCCACAGATAAAAGGTCTCCATGCATTGATCGTGAAAAGGAAGGGTTGTAATGGCGTCTATTATATACATTCGAGGTCGTTTTTCCGCTAGTCGGAAAGGCCTGAGAAGTTGCGATTGCAGTTCGTACGTTAGAGACAGGCAATACCAGTCTAAATTTGGATTTTAAATGTCTAACCACGTAGGTGTCGGAACCAGGAAGGGGCTAACCCCCCCTCCCTCCTTTTTTTTTTGCTAAGATAGACATAACATAATTAATTGAAAATTGGGGCTTACCTTTTTTGTGGTTTAGTCCCCCTTTTTTAATGCGCTTCCGACGCCTATGTAACCTAAACATAAAAAAATTGAGGTCATTTAATAATGCCAAGATTCTAGATACATAGCTTTCCTTACAGTAAAGTTTCCTTACGGAATTACCCGTAATCAAAGTTATAAGAAGAATAATCTAATAACTGCTATGAAACATGTCCGACAAAATATTTCCTTATAAATGATACTTTTTGCAAGCAAGGTTATTATCATGACTTAAGCTGACATTAAACGTGGATGTTGAAGTCCTAGTTACATCAACAATTTGTACTGCTTAAAAATTGAAAGTTTGATTTTAGTTTAGTAACTTCATGTAAATGGAAGTTACTCATTAAATACATGCACAGCATAACAAACAATAAAACGTTGGTCAACATTCGATTTATTGATATTTTGTATTTGCTAAGAAAACCATTGTATCAAACATGGAATTTGCTAAATGTTAACTTTAAACGGCACTGTTGATATCCTTGTGTTATCAGTTCTTTGTAAATAGCTTGTTATACCCCCCCGCTTGAAAATGGAAGGGTATACTGTAATCGGTATGTCCTCCGTCCGTCTGTACGTCCGTCCGTCTGTTACGCTTTAGGGTACCCATCTCTTATCCGCAACTCCTCTTATATACCACTGAGTGAAATTTAATGAAACTTTCACAGAATCTTTATTACATATTGCCATTGTGCACCTCCTATTTTACTTTTTGATCCGACACATATTTTGGGTTTCCCGGCCACAGCAAAACATGGACTTTGTCATCAGTTATAACCATATGGGAGGCGGGGGTATCATTTAGTGAGCTCATCGCTCACAATACCTCTGCTTTTATAAGTTATTGACAACAAGGGATATATTTTCCATTCCCAGAAATTGAATATAAAAGGTAAAATACGTTAATTTGAAAAAAAAATTCACTTTTTGGGGGGGCATTCAATCAGTGTAAATAGAGTCTTTGTATTGTTTGATGCTGAAAACTAAAATTTTTAATAGTGCAAGTTGATTTTAATTTTAATACATCTTCATTTGCTTTAAACAATAAGTGACTTTTAAAAAACAAAAAGGCGTTTTTTCCAATTTTTTATTCAGTTTACTTTTTTACAATGCAGTGTGGGGAATTTTTTTGTCGTAATAAATTTTTAAAATTAAAGTAGTATCTCAAAGAACTAAATTAAGTCCGCTAAAGAATATTAACACAATACAGATTGTCATTCCAAAGAGTTTTATTTGCTTGATGATTTCATTATTGTTATACATTACAGACTGCAAATATGACTCAAAAGAATCCGATTGCTGGCAGTACTTCCCTCGCTAGAGACAAAATAGTTCTTGCCTTCGAAACAATGCATCCTATAATCTTCTTCGTAAGAGACTTCACGCCGTTCCAAGCATCGCGAAAAACTTTTCCCCATGTTTCTTTTGTCCAACTATAGGTGACTCGTCCTTCTGTTTTTATGGTAATTCGTAGCCTGTTTTCTTGATTACCTGCGCATACAATGATGGGTTCATCAAGAACTTCATCGATGTAAATTACAACCTTCACGTTGTTGGCACAAGTTGCTACAACTTCATGGATTCCATCCCGAACGTCGTAAAAGGAATCCCTGAGTTCTTCGTTATCCCTAAACTTCTGTTTTACTCTTACAAATGCTCTATTCAAAGCCTCATCATTTAACTCTCCGCTTTCCTAAAATGAATTAGAATGAAAAAATAAATTTATTGCTTTTAATAGAAAAAAATTTATTGATTTATGCAAAAACTTTAATTAATATTTTTACCTACCATGTTCACGTACACACCAAATCCAACTAAAATTTGCGCAAACTGAGTTATTAGACTGATTGGTCCAATTTAAATAGAGCCTCGTTCTGAATTGGAAAAAAAGGAGAATTAAATGTAGCGAGATATTCAACACTTAAGATTTAACAAGCAATAGTGAGTTGGTATTACCGAGAAGAAGGTAAGTATTTTTTTTCAAAATTTATTCCTGTCTGATATCAGCAAAAGTATATATTAAATATTTCACCATATTTTAAGGTGAAAATGCCTTTAGAGTCATCTAGCAATATTAATTGATTGGCGATGTTGTTTGAGATTGAGGAAACCCTCATTTTTATTGAAACTTGTAAGTTCTTAAAGAATGCAAGCTTTTTTTTATCAATCACTCTAAACTTTTCCGATGCCAACAGATGCACAAACTTTGTTCCTAAGAAAAGGAATTTTGATATAATAGTTTTACTATTGATTGAAATGTCATAATAGTTACTAAAAAACTATGCGGTGTAGTGTTTCTAAAATGGCCTAAAGTTTAGATTAATACGTCCTCTGCAGAGCCTTACTATAGATTACGTGAATATGTAAAATTAAAATAAAATGTTTTTACAGTAATTTCCCACCTTGTTAATTTTTTAAAGAGGTTTTTATGTAGTCATTTTGTTTCGAAAAAAGCAAATAAAGCATATAGGACTGACTGTTGATAAATTAAGAAATAAATCATTATATTTATATTAATTTGGTATTGAAAAAGTGCAAAAGGATCCCATACCAAGGGAAAAACCTAAAGATGATTTCTAGAAATGAGAAAACTTTGAATAGTGATCAAAATCATTATTTCAATATTAATGGTACATGTCTTTTTCAAAACCTCAGTAATATAATACTAGTACTCTAAATAACCAATGCTTTTATAACAAGAGATAGTTCTGTTTTACAATTGTGGATCAGAATTTTCTCTTGTTTTAAGAGCATTGATCATTAAGAATACTAGTATTACTTGAATATTTCTAATATGTAGACATGAAAATTAAATAGGCGCACATTTCATAAACTCATAATTACAACTTTTAGCACTTGGAAAACATGCCTTTAAATACATTTCTTAAAAAGTGTACTGCTAATAAACATGTAACATTTATTATATCTATCAAAAAATCTACATTTTTAATGACAAAAAACATCTTAGGAAAATATTGAAATAACGAAAAGCTATCTAGCTCAAGGATTTATTAAAAAATACAGATAATTAAGAGCAGTGTGACTGTGGACCTCTTAAATACATCAGACGTGGAATCAGGTGCCTGGGAAAAGTGAGTACACCCGCCAAATATTCCTCCTCATGGCCGAATAAACGAAAAAGTCCATAATTCATCGTGAAAAAATGGCCTATCCCTCTGTTTAAAAAAGTAGACTCCAAGATAGATTGTATTAGCTGACAATATCATCGTATTGACTATAAAAAATGACAAAATATTGACATTAAACGAGACTGTTTAAATCCTTGTGACATCAAATTACATATAAATAGATTGTGTCGTTTAAGAAATTGTTCGCACGTGTAGCATATCCTCTTGTCTAGCACATCAATTCGGAGATATTTGGAGATATACATGTAAACTCCATATCTTTGCAAGTTATAATGTATTATTGTTATGCAAATAAGGGAATTTTTCGATAGAAAGTAAAATATATCAAGTTTGTCACAGAATTTTTTGTTGGGCTACCTTTAACGATTTTTCCCTTTAATTTATCCAAATATACAACAGCTGTATCAGACTGTGTGAAGTATTCTTATTTCGAGGTTAAAGGGGTATATGGAATCAATGGCCGTAAAAAAGATTTTTTCCTTTAGTTTGAGGTTCATTAAAAAATTCTCCTGCATTTGAAAACAAAAACAGGTCTCCTATTAACGGAGAGAAGTTACTTTCCATGTGAATTCCAACAGACACATTTAAACTTGATCTCTAAAAACTACAATAATATTGTAAATCAGAATCTTAAGCATCATCTATTTTCAGCTTCTCAAAATCATATTTTTATGACCAATGACAAGTCAGAAGGTATATAAATACACAAGTTTTCAGTTTTGTTTTATTGGAAAAGCAGCTGTCTATTGAGTCGAAAAGCTTTTATTTATCACAGGGATTTGTTGTTTTAAGTGTTGAAAAAAAAAAAACCGAACGGTTTAGTGTTATCGGTTTTGGTAAAGTCTTTGATTCCAATTTGTCTTAAAATTCCTGGAGTTTTTAAGAATCCATTATAAAAACCATTTCTGGATACAGCATCTCTTAATACACTACTCTTAATTTTTTAGAGCTCAATATATTTTAGTGGAAATAAAGAAAGAGGGTTGGTGGAACATTTATTGGAATCCGCAATCTATCTTTGTGTGTAAGGATTTTTATTTTGTTTAGAAATCCAGTATAAGCATTGGTATATCAGAAGCAGAATCCATGATGATCTGAGTTACAAGACAAAAAAAGAACATTTAGGTTACATGTTTTGTCTTCTCCGAATAGTACATATTTATCGTGGAATCAATCTTTTTCTGTTTTTCTTATTTATTAGAGACGGGGAATATTTGGTTTTCATCGCAAAATGCGAGGTTTCATCATACAGCTCCGTGATACTAGTATTCTTAATTCATTCTCACAAAGTGTTAGATATTACATAATTAATGGAATGAAAATGGCGCAAAAAGACTTGGTTGTGATTTATATTTTAATTCTGTCTTTGAAAAATGTCAGCGCTAATTTCTACAAACTAGCTTGCTTTGCAGAAAATTTTATAATCAATTTTATGCCAAAACATACATTTTGACACATTTGACATATCATTAGAATTAAAAGGTAAAGTAAGATTCGCTTAGAAAAATATCCTGCAAAAGGACTCCATCCTTTTAAATCTACTTTTATATTTTGTCATGACTTATTACATTCTACTTAATAAGAAATAAATCACTAGTTAATACAAAAAAAAACTTTATTCTTTTTTGCTGACAATAACGTGTCTTTTAAATAAAACTTTTAACTAGATTATTATTCATACTAAGTCCATCAGATCACAGTCAGTATGTCAGATATCCACGTGATGTCCCCTCTAGTCTGTTGTTTGAAGCAAACAGCGATCCGAAGAATGATGTAAACCCGCTCACAATCTTTCTTGCAATTCTATCTACCGTCTGGAAAGCATTGTTGAAATGCAACGACCAAGTTTTCTTGGCCCATTGATACTGCACGTTTCCCCACTCGTCAATGTAAATAATGAGTTTGTTGCTACCAGAACCACAGCAAAGTGTGATTGGTTCATAAAGGTAATCATCCATATGGACTTCAACTGTAACATTGTCAGCACATCCACGTAAAGTATGATGCAAGTCGTCTCTTATATCGGCTAATGCTTTTGCAACAAGGATGTTTCTTCGAATATTTCTCGGTATTCTTCGAATGACACTCTGAAAAACTTCATCATCAATTCTGTCGCACCTGAAATCCTAAAAGTATAATATATCTATAGATGAAAATGAATATGAATGAATCAAAAATATTTATTGAATTCGTATTGTTATCAATATATTTAAATTAACAATATATTCAATTTTGCTTACCATTTTTAAATCTAGGAGTTGTGTACTGGAGTTAAAATCGCCGTGCTACATTTAAAGAACCTATCATTATCAAATATATAGTGCTATACCAAAGTTGCTATAGAAATGTGACTACGTCAGAACTCTTGCGCATGTGTGTGACACCAGACCAATGACAAGCTTAAATGTTACCATAATGTTTTACTTGTCACAAAATGGTTGAAAAAAGACCCTTATACTCAACAAATTAAGAAAAGTTATGATATTCTATACCTTCCACTTTGTGTTCTAAAAGAACTTAAAGACATATCGACGTCATCATTTAGCAAATAGCATTTTGTGAAATAGGAGATCGAGGTAAATTTTTGAATGATTCAATATATAAATGAAATACTGCTACTAAAAAACTGAAATAAGACATTTCATTTACCGGTGTAATATTGTTGATATTGGGTTTAAGCAGCCAAAAGGTAAGGGTAAATTATTTATGTATGATAAAGTTAGAATACGTGATATATATATTCCAAATCTCCCAACTATTCAATCATTTTCAGATGGACGATTTTAAAATTCGTGTGATGAATTTCTTTCGAACTCTAGAGGTAGATAATTTTATTTTTCTTTACAATGAAAGTTAAGCAATAAAAGATGTTTTATACGTTTTTAATATATTGTTGTTTGTTATATGAAGACTTCATAAATACAATGTACGTTCTTTGTTATATTTTTTCTGATGTTATACTTAGGCATGCAATGGAGAACAGAAATCTGTCTTTAATGATGTTCTGGAAGCATTTAATACTTTTCTTGAGGTAAAAAAATAAGAATTATATAAACATCTATGACACATATATTGGGAAAGTTAAATTACTTTATGTATATACTACTTTATGTATATACTTACACTCGCACTTGATATACAAATGCATATGTGTTTGGGTTACTGTTTCCACTGAATTTTATAATTTGCTTTTAAGACCTTGATTAAAAGTATTGTTTTCAGATAATATAGAAGTATATGTATATCAATGACTATAACAAATAACTAATCATTCATCTTTTACAGGAAGTACTTTTATCGAAACATATCACAGTGGGCTCTTCGGATACTATTAATGTGCAAGAGCTTTTATACAACGATTTCCTTGAAATGTTTCGGTATCTTCAGGTAGGAATAACATTTCGGACCATTAACAGGAACTTAAACTAGCTTTAACATATGGAATGAAAAACACAAATCCTTCGGCACGTTTTCAACCTTTCAATTGCATTGTATGTTGTTGTTGTTTTTCATTAAATAAAATGTAAATCTTTTTGTCCCTCAAAATATTTTTTTTTACTGATAAAAGCTTCCTTTTTTAGCCAGATATGGTTGAGAAATTGAAGATTTTTCTTAATAGACTGAAGGTAAATTATCTAATTGTGTTTATTTTATCTAATATTTCTTTAAAACATGACATATTCTCTTCTTTTTATGAAACTGTACATGTATTTAATCATAATTATATTCATTTTTAATAGTCATGTTATACAAGACCAACATTATAGAGAATGGCAGAAAATATCATTCAGAAACTTTTATGTGCATCATGAGTTTTTCAATTTTTTTTCTTTATTTTCAAAGGAAGCAAAACAGGCCCATCTCAATAGTCTTCACGGAAAGATATCACTTTTCCGAACTAAACAGGTTTTTAGTTTAAGTAGACTTTGCATGCATGTAGATTAGATTCTTAATTGTTAAATTTGTAATGTATATATCATTTTTTTTTCTCAGTAATTTTTATCTAAATATTTATTAAGTAAGAAAAAAAAAGGAACAGCATTAAACAAAAGTAAAGATAGAATTTTATGTTAATTCTTAAAAAGTTTGAAATGAATTAAATTTTCATATAAATATTAAGCAATATCTTTATCAATCTTTAAAATTTTTGATCGTTACTTGCATAAAACGTTACATATAGAATATTTTGACAAGAACAATAAAATTTATGTTGGAACTTATTTAAGAATTTTCTTATTTAACATACCTTCATATGCGTTTACTATGTTGAACAAACATTGCAATTTTACTTGTTTAAGGTAAATAGATTGCTTGTTAATATCTAATTAATTGATTTACTTATTGAAACTTTTTAACTTCTTTTCTCAGGTGGACGAGAAAATTGTCCTTGATATGAAAATGAAGGTTTGTAAGGAATTTGTTGTTCTCTCTTTTTATAGATATTATACAATTAGGGACTTCAGCGTAGGTTATATGTGGTCAGTTTTTTTCGACGGAGAAAAATGACCCCCGGTCATTATTCACTCCGGCGAATAATGAACCTTTATGGATAAAAGTTGAAATTTTAGGGAGAAAAAAAATAAAGAAAGATACCTATTGGCGACAATGTTTACCTGAGCTTAATTGGGAATAAATTGATGATATGTTGATCTCATTAAATTTTAGAATTATCGCTACTTTAAGGTCAATGCAATGATTCAGAATCTAAAGGAGTAAACGATTTATCGAGCCGAAAGGGCAAGGTGAACATTGTTTTTTCCATGTTGAAAAATTTGACAGAAAAATGCAGCAATATTACATATCATTATACCCGCGCTTGAAAAGCATGAGGTTATAAAGTGATCAGTATGTCCGTCCGTGCGTCCGTCTGTTACCTTTGAGTTACCCATCTCTTATCCACGACTCCTCTTATACCGCGGAATAATATTTAATGAGAGTTTCACGGAATCTTTATTACATAGTGCCACTGTGTATTTCCTACTTTACTTTTTGATCGGATACAAATTCTAAATTCCCCATAGAAAAACATGAACATTGCTATCCTTTCCATCATATTGAAGAGTATCCATCTCTTTTCCGCAAATCCTCCTGTACACTTAATAAAACTAGAGGTACTGTGAGCAATGAGCTCACTAAATGATACCCCCCGCCTCCCATAATGTCCATGTTTTGCTATATATTGTTTTACGGTAATGTGTAAAGAGGAATAACTCGTCCTATCAAATGTTATCTAGAAGCTTCTATGTGACGTCATAGGTAAACATATAATGGCAATATGTCCATGTTTTGCTATGGGAAACCTTAAATACGTGTCGAATAAAAAGGTAAAATAGGAGGTGCACAATGGCAATATGTAATAAAGATTCTGTGAAAGTTTCATTAAATTTCACTCAGTAGTATAAGAGGAGTTGCGGATAAGAGATAAAGCGTAACAGACGGACGGACGTACAGACGGACGGAAATCCCGATCACTATATACCCTCCCACTTTTCAAGCGGGGGGTATAATTAAACTAGAGGTACTGTGAGCGATGAGCTCACTAAATGATACCCCTGCCTCCATATAGTTACAATGGCAAAGTCCATGTTTTGCTGTGGCCGGGAAAACCAAAATATGTGTCGGATCAAAAAGTAAAATAGGAGGTGCACAATGACAACATGTAATAAAGATTCTGTGAAAGTTTCATCAAATTTCATACAGGGGTATGAGAGGAGTTGCGGATAAGAGATGGGTACCCCAAAGCGTAGCAGACGGACGGACGGACAGACGTACAGACGGACGGAATTAACGATTACTATATACCCTCCCGCTTTTCAAGCGGGGGTATAATGATACTTTCACAGATTCTTTATTCCATAATGTCATTGTGCACCTCCTATTATACTTTTTGATCTGACGTTCATTTCACGTTCCCAAGAGCAAGGCATGGACTTTGCCATTATAATCAGATTGGAGGCAGGGGTATCATTTATTTCAGAGAGTTTAATGTGAGAACCAGAATAAACATTTTCATTTTTGTAAAGTTTTCTTCATACTGAAACAAAATAATTATGAAAAAGTAATTGAAGACCATTCCTTTTTATTATATATACTAAAATATACTATATATATCAATGAAAACTTAATTTGACGCAGGATCAAGAGAGGATGGACTTCGTTGATTTTCTGTTTGTGACTACAAATACTATGCAAGGAATAATCCAAGTATGTATTTTATTCAAGAACAAGAGAGAGAGAGAGATTTGTGTGAGGGTATCATCCTGGAAATTTGCATATGAAATATATGAAGATAACTAACATTATTTAAGCTCGAGTCCTTTCAAACAATACCATACAGCAGCAGAGCAAACTTGAACCTCTGAAATATAAGGGGTGGGATCAAGTGACATGGAGAAGTAAGCATCCTCTGCCAATTGGTCACACCAGTTGTGTTCTCATTGTTATGGTCGACCTTTGGCTCAGTTTAGCTAAAAATTAAGAAAGTGGAAAAGTTTATTTCATTATCTCAAATTATATTACGATAAAGACATCTTGTACATGGTATTGAACATAGTATCATTGTAATACAGTATGAAATTTATAACTTCTTAATATGATTCTTTTATTTCAAATTCTTTTTATTTTAATTATAACAACTTTAGCGAGGTCCAGATGACAGCACGTTGAAAAGAATTTTAGAAAAAATGAGAACACATCGTGGAACATTTAGTGTAAGTCGTAACAATTGTATGCATGGTAATTTAAAAAAATCAGGTTTTAGAATTTCAATTTTAATATGGTTATTAACGAGAAATTGCAAAACCATTTGGTTAAGTAAGGTAAACTATATATATCCAAACAGTTATTTTCCGTTGAAATAAATACCTGTTGATAAGAGCAGTAAAATTTAAGTAATTAACCACAAAAAATTAATATGTTTTACGGTGTGACCGTTTGGGCGAGCGCAGTTGTACCATTAAAACACTTGAAAAATTGATCAACCACTTCAAACATCAAGCCGCACGAGACATCCCGACTAGCTGTGACGTCAGATGACGTCATGGAGCTCGCCGGAGCTTACGGAGACAGCCGAGCGTCTGGTTGAAACTACAGAGCTAGTGAAATTTTGGTGGAAAAAACATTGCAGAGTTATTTTTTGTTTCATTGAAAGATTTCTACAAACTGAAAGCCTTTTATGCTTTACGTTATTATTTATTCATTTATTCGCGCAGACGACATTTGGTAGTAAAGGAATTCTGGGAATGTTTCACAGAGAAATTTGCCTGACGTATGTACAGATTTCATTCCGAATTTCCTCTGTTCTTACTTCTTACACGTTAGTCTACTGAGCTCGCTGCGCTCGCTATAAAAATGTGTTCCTATAAATTAACATACAATTTTATCATATTAGGTATACATATGGTATATACCAACGGGATTTGCTTCCTAACAAAACTTTTACTAATGGGGTTTCCTAATCCGAGTGCACTATGTGTCAAACCCTGACTACTATTTAGGCATAGTGCATGCAAAACACAACATTATTGTTATTTTTGTGCTGACTGTTGCATAAAAACGAAAATGCTTTCTCCATTTCCAATGTTTCATTACTTCTTACAAATATGTTAATACACACTTATTATGACGTCACGTTGTGCTACATGTACGTCATTATTTTTTTTATTTTGAGTGTTTCATGCAATAAGGCATATTTTTATATACCTAATGTGTATCACTCAATTTTACTGTTGATTTTATGAAATCACGTGACGTTGTGATCCGACTTTCCGTGGTTTTCTGAATCCATATCACCACTCTCTGAAACTGATGACGTAGTACGCAGAAATATGACGTCATATTTCTTGCGCGATAAAAAGTCCCTTGTTATTATGCTTTGTTTAATGGATTAATATTATCCAATTTTATCTATAAAGGTTTATTTTAATATATATAGCCAGTTATAAAGGGGTATATAATGAATTTATTACTATAACAGTAACTAGATCCGAAGAGCCGTATCACGTCTCGTTGACAGCTGTCTCGCCCTCGGGGCTGAGATATCTCTGTTTCAGCCCGTTGTCAAGGGGCTGTCTTGCCCTCAAATTTCAAATCATTATTTCTGACTTTCTGTTTAATGTGTGTGCATTAGAAGTAAAATTCATATTTAAGTATTAAAGAGAAACATTGTGTATCGAAAATTTAACCAGAACCTTTATAAATTATTTATTTATACTAGAATTTCGAGAAAATTGTTTTTAAAAAGTGCGCCAAATAATAGGCCTTCTCAGAAGATTTGATCACGTACCGACCCACTTCAATTCCCATTGAAGTTTATAAACTTGTTATTTATTACTTATATATACATTTGAGATGGACAATTAAATATAAAATTAAATATATTCGGATATAAATATTGCACTAACCGGTCGCCGTAGATTTCCGTCAAAAGTACGCAAGGTGTAAATCGGCTTGAAAGGCGGTTACGCTTCGAATTCGTCAGGCTAAGAATTCTATTTCGAAGGGAATACTTTGTTAAAGGCTACTTGTGATCAGTAATAGGGAACAGATTCTTGTCTGGGATTATTTTAATTTGTGAAAATTGATCATTAATGCTGAAAAGACACAACAAACGCGTCCGAGAATGGATGAGAAAAAGTTGGAGGAATTTCGGTCTCCTGAAAGGGATGGATGGATCCGATGGATTGAGATATTTGTCCGAGCCAGTTAATTTGCAATCATGTGTAAAACTTCATCAAAAACAGTTAATCTACGATTTCAGTAACTAAAGGCATATTTATAATGTTAACACGGAGACACTGGCGACAGTTTACTTTGAAGCACGACAGCACCGATCGAGGTGTTTCTCAGCTGCTCGTGGCGTGATTGCAATGCTTTGATATTTTCGAACAGATTTACACATTTATCGTGAGTAAAATTTAATGAAAAAAATATAGTTTTAGCCTATATCATGAAGATTTAACTTAAGGTCTAACAAAAATAAGGATAAATGTTAGAGACTGTGCAGCTGACAAAAGTGACTTGTAAACAAAGGCTAGTTTCTATCGGTATATTCTCTATGTACACAGGTTAAATCGATCGCCAAAAATGTATGAAGTACTTGTTTACGTTGTAAATAAAACAATTATTTCACTTGCTTATTTTGTTCATTTTTATACATGAAAAGCAAGACATTTTATATCTATAAAGTAACGGTAGATATTATTATTATATCTATAAGTAACGGACGTTACGGTAGATATTATTACGCCGTGTGATTCGGCCATGTATTGTATAAAATGGGTAGGCAAAATCAGTACGACATTTCACGGTATTTTTAGGTCACCTGAGTAAACTCAGGTGACCTATTGCTATCTGTTTTCGTCCGTCGTCGTCCGTCGTGCGTTAACATTTGAACATTTTCAGCTTCTTCTCTGAAACCACTGAACCAATTTCAACCAAATTTGGCAAATAGCATCTATGGGTGAAGGGGAACAAACATTGTGAATTTCATGGTCTCTGCCCCCCTGGGGCCTGGGGGGTGGGGCAAAAACCACTAAAATTAGTGCAATCTTTAAAAATCTTCTTCTTTACCTCTGGACATCAAGCAGTCAAACTGTTGGTATGATTGTAATCAGCATTGAGTCCTCTACCAAAATTGTGAAATTCATGGCCCCAGGGTCAGGGGTTCTGGTGTTAGGGCGGGGCTCTATTGATTATATAGTGAAAATGCATTATTTCTTTGAAAATCTTCTTCTCTGTTCCTGAATATTAAATAAACTAACTAAGTACATAGTTATGATGAGTAAGAGCGTCTCTACATAAATGTGAAATTCATGGCCCCAGGGTCAGGGGTTATGGTGTTAGGGCGGGGCTCTATTGATTATATAGTGAAAATGCATTAAATCTTTGAAAATTTTCTTCTCTACTCCTAGCTATTAAATAAACTAACTAAGTACATAGTTATGATGAGCAAGAGTGCCTTTACAAAAATTGTGAAATTCGTGGCCCCAGGGTCAAGGGTTATGGTGTTAGGGCGGGGCTCTATTGATTATATAGTGAAAATGCATTAATTCTTTGAAAATCTTCTTCTCTGTTCCTGAATATTAAATAAACTAACTAAGTACATAGTTATGATGAGTAAGAGCGTCTCTACATAAATGTGAAATTCATGGCCCCAGGGTCAGGGGTTATGGTGTTAGGGCGGGGCTCTATTGATTATATAGTGAAAATGCATTAAATCTTTGAAAATTTTCTTCTCTACTCCTAGCTATTAAATAAACTAACTAAGTACATAGTTATGATGAGCAAGAGTGCCTTTACAAAAATTGTGAAATTCGTGGCCCCAGGGTCAAGGGTTATGGTGTTAGGGCGGGGCTCTATTGATTATATAGTGAAAATGCATTTATTCTTTGAAAAGCTTCTTTTCAGCTTCTGAGTATTAAATAATCTAATTAAGGACATAGTTATGATGAGGAAGAATGTTTCTACCAAAATTGTGAATTTTATGTCCCCATGGTCAGGGGTTCTGGTGTTAGGGTGTGGCTCTATAATGACTATATATAGTGAAAATACATTACATCTATTAAAATCTTTTTCTCTACTCCTGGGTAATAAGCAGCCTGAACTATTTATATAGTTATGATGGGCTCTTCTTCCAGAATTGTGAATTTCAAGGCCCCTGGGTCAGGGATACCAAAATGGGGGGGGGGGGGGGCTCTACTTATATACTGAAAATGAATTGTTTGAAATCTGCTCCTTGGTATTTTTATCAAGCAATTTTGATAAGCAAGTGTGCTTTTTCAAAAATTGTGCAATGTGTAGACCTAGGGTCAGGAGTTCATGTGTGGTAGGAACACTCCTGATTATTGCTAAATATTACTGATTAGTTGACATATACATTTTTGTTCCCCTACCCTGCTTATGGGTATTAAGTAAACAAACTAAACAATTTTTAAGTGTATATTTATGATTAGCAATGGTGCCTCTTTCAAAATTGTGAATGCCGTAGCATCTAGCTTAAAACATAAACCAAATTCAATCATTTGAAAGTTGTTGCATGATGCTCAGGTGACCTATAAGGCCCATGGGCCTCTTGTTTAATAAAGACTCATTAAACCATTACAATTGTGGACTTTTCCAATATTTTACTCTCTATATAAACGAAATATAATTAGTTTTACATTATAAAAGCTATAAGTATGCAGAATTTGCGCATTTTAAGAAAAGTCGGGGCATTAAAACCGGATCCGATCACCCGGGGCAAACCCGAAAATTCCGAAATAATGAAGGCAAATCGTTTGTATTGGAGGATGCTAGCTATCACTTTTGTGACATTGTCCAACTCTAACCACATGGAGGTATTCTCAAAAGAGCCTGACACTGGTCAGATGACAAATAATCTCGAGTAAAATAAAGTAAACCTGTACAATTATTCCGGAATTTTCAGGTTTTTCCCGGGTGATCGGATCCGGTTTTAATGACCCCGTTTTTCTTAAAACATGTAATTTCACGTAAATATTGCAATAAACAAGGAAGAAATATAAATTTATAGTTAATACATATTCTTAAACACCAGAATTATTCATAACTTCATGGACTTTATGCAGCATATGTCTGAAAACGTAAATTATGAACTTGGGAAACTGCCTACCCATTTTACCAACTTGAAAATCAATAATTGCCGATAAAAACTAAAATATAAAGTATTTCATGGCAATTTTAGCAGCGAATA